GTGATGATGGACCTTTAAATTTGCAGAGCACATGCATCAGCACCCACCCAATGAGGGGCAGACCGTAGATAAGGAAATGACGTCACTGGATGCTGACGAAAACAACGGTAAGGGCAGAGTTCGGTCTCTGGCACCACTTTTATTCAATTTCAACTAGATTTTCAAAAAAAAAAAAAAAAAATGTTAGCTTTCCCTAAACAACTACTTGTTATTTTATCTGCAGTGGTCATCACATTTTTGCCTTCATCATCGTCTTCATCATTAGCAGCAACAACAATAGCACCATTTAATGACTACATTGGTTGATTACGGTGGAACCTTTGAGAAAACCGTTGTTTCTTCTTTTTTGGCATTATAATCACGTAGTATTTAGATGAAGAAAAGAAAAGAATTTAGAGTATAAATGACAAAATTCTTTTTTCTTGTCGTGACAGTCATTAGTTGTAAACTTCGTACGATATTCTTGTATCTTAAAGAAATATATTTTTTTGTTTCGATTGTTCAGGCTATTATAGTTTTCTGGATTTAGGCATCTTCTTTCGCTGCGCTTCTGTAACAAACATTTTTTCAAAAAGAGTCGAATGTATGAAGTTTAGAAGTTGTTTTTTTTTTTCTTTTTGGAAATATTCGAACAAAATGGGATGGAAGGGGAATTATTGAAAGCGTTTTTGTTTGGTTTGCTGAAATAGAGAGAAACATAATAATAATGACAAAAAAATTTTTGTTCACCCGCAATTTTTGTCGAAAATGCATAATATTTCTATCTTAAGGCGGTAACTTAAATATAATGCATCTCGATTATTCATCATTTGCTGTGGGAAAATTTGGCTCTGATAAAATAAAGAAAATAAATTTATTTTATTTTCTTTTTTTTTGTAATAATTTTTTTGGGAAAAAAAATCTGCTTTTCCCGAACACTATTTTCATTTCTCTTCCATCATTAATCCTAAACAAATATTATTTTTGCAATCACTTACCGATTCAGCACAGTTCTTTCTTAGCAGAATCTTTCTCTTAGCTTCTTCTTCTTTCTTCTTTTGCTTCATCTTCATCGAGGAAAGCATTTACCCGCTTTCTGTGTCATGTATTTTCTGAGTTGTCATGCATTATATTTGAAAACTTAGAAACTTGAAATTTTTAACGAGGAGGAAAGATTTGCAAAACAATTTTATGCGCAAAAACTGATGACAACAATGGTATGAAAAATGATTTAATTTTAAATTTTGAAACTTCTATGGTGCTCTTCTTTGGGCAGAAGAGAACTTTTTCAGTAATTTTTGCACATGAAGAATGTTTGATTTTGATTAAAAGTGATTATAATTCTTGCCGTAGGATACGGTAATTAAGGTTGTATGATGAACCTACCAATAATGCAAATTAATAACTTTATTTGTGAAATGGTTGCCAAAAATCTGTGACTAATCTGTTGGGTGAGAGACATGTTTTCAAATGTGTATGTGTACTATTGGTGAAATGTGTATATAATTCAAAAATAGCACAGTATTGTGAAAAAAGGGACGAAAAAAATTAGGGACTGGCTGGATTAAGCGAACCAGCGACGTTGTTTGAGGCACAGGTTACTTTCTGCTCTAGTTTTCTTAACAAAAATGACTTTAAAATACTCGAAAAAATTTGAATTATGGTGGAGGGCTGAAGAAAAACTGGAACATGGAAAAGCATTGAAAAACGGTGCTGTGAAAGTTTATTGGTAAACTCTTAGTTTTAATTAAATGGTTGTTAGACTAATCTGAATTATTATTGTTATTTCTTAAGCTTTTCTGTGAACCACTTTTCAGGCTGTTCCAGCTATCAAGAAAAAGATGCAACAGTTTTTTATTTTATGCTGATTGACTTGTCTGGACTCCCTAGATAATGGCTATTGAACTTAGAGAGGGCAGAAATTGGCCTTAAAATAATTTTGTTTTTAGGCATAATTTTTGGTTCAAGTGAAGGTAGTTTTTAATGCGGTACACGAGGGAGTTGTTAGATGTTGGTGAGGTAACTTTTTAAGTCGCCTGGAATGTTTGATAGAGAAGTGTTAAATTTGGCAATGGAAAATGAATGGACGAGATATTTGGGTTTTTTTTTTCGGTTATTTGATATAAACGAACGATAAAAAGTAAAGTTTTTGATGATCATTAATTGTATACTGGCTATGTAACAGCAGCGGTTGATGGAGGCCAAAAGAATTAATGTAAAATGTCAAGTATCAATAGGTAATAGAACAATGGAAAAGAAATTCTTCCTAACCTTCATTCAGTGCTTTGTTTAGTTGTTTCAACCTCTTTTTAAGTTTAAACTTCAATTAAATTTTTCAGTCATAATTGTTTAGCGGTTTCCGAAGTAGAGAGAGGAGGAGATAGGGAGGAAAGGAGTTGTGTTATCCATAATTTTAGACAATTCAAAATAGCCAAGAAGTTTTTATTTTGGAGTTTTGATCGGAAAAGTTTCAGCGTTATTTCAGACAATTTAAGTATTGTCCCAAATGAAATGATTCGGAAATTTTTTGCTACACACAGCAATGATCGCATTGGTTTTTTGCAGTAGTATTAGTTTTGAGCAAAGATTTTTTGGACAATGGGGATTTGCCTCGGAGCTGTGGCGCTCCGCCTTATAATCCTTAAAAGAAATTTATGATGTATCACCAGAATTCGTTCGGTTTGCTGCTAATTTTTGCATTTTCTATCCCCGTATTCCTCCCCTCCCTTCATCCACTCCGTCCCCGTGCCGCCTCTGAGGTGCATTTTTTTGCATCCAAAACTTTTGATTCTAGAGCAGATGCCAATTTTTAACTTTTGCTCTTTCATCAATTGTCTTTTTTCGATAGTTCTGTGGTTTGGCCACCTCGATGTGCTCCTGGCGATTATTGTTATATTGTTGGTATCATGGGAGCCTCCAAAGGGGTTTAGTTTAGTTAGCTTCTCACTTCATTTGTATGCAGTTATAGTTACATAAAAGTGAAGAAGAAGCGGGGGTGGGTGACAAAAGTTACCAACTGACGTCGTTCAGAGAGGGGATAAAAAGATGAATAAAGAATACTTTTTTTGACTTCTTTGGAGTTTAACTTTAGTTTCAAGGCAACCTTTTCCTCTGTAAAAGTAGAGGATCTGTAACTGTACAGATAGTGAATGGGAAGAAAGAAGAAAACTTCAAAAACAGTGGTCGGATCTCTGATGCAATTCCTTTGCTTTAATTTATGAGATTGCATAATATTTATATGAATATAAATAAAATATGAGTATAAATATAAATATAGGTATATGTATATACATTTATATTTATTTTTTTATCTGTTTATCTCTGTAAGTTTAGTATCCGTCAACAACTTTTTTATTTCCAACAGTCTTATAATTTTTTCCGCTCGTGTATCCTTTTTTCCTTTTCTCTTTTTTTTTTTCTTTGTCTTGTTTCCCGTTTCAAAAGCTGTCTTCAGAATTCTTATTTTTTGTTACTTTCACCTTTTTTTCTTGCTCAAACAACATTATGCTTTTTGTTGTATGTCTTTCTTGAGCTGTCCAGAGACTGTCGCTCAGTAAGGGCTAAATTTCCAGTAATTATTCGTTAGGAAGACTGTCGTCGCAGATCTGCAAAGTTTTTCTGGTTTAATATTAGCGGTTTATTGTGATCTAAGCAGTCACTGTCTCACCTTGCACTCTGCGGTTCAAATTATTTCTCTTAGCACCATTCCGTGGTTGACTTTTCCCATGTGACATTTGTATTTGAGAATCTGGGAAGTTTTCAGGCTTTCTGCGAGCTTAGTTTTTTCGTCAACAGTTTTAACCATTGTTGCCAGTTGTTTGGATTAATTTCTGAGATAACCGGTTAAATTTGTTGAATAATTTCAGTGGGTAAATGAAAGAAATTATGAATTTACTTGAACTGCGTAAAGAGCATAAAGAGAAGTGGTTATAACTGTGGTGGTTCAGGAGTAGCGACAATAGTAAGAGCCAAAATTTAGTTAGGTTAATGAAGATTTGTTTTATAAGAATTATGATGTTCAAAATCTCTGTTTGGGTTTATGTGCGTTGGTATTTCTAGCATTGGTGTATTCATGTGTATGCATTAATTTCCAAGCAAAAACGACGAATGCAAATGAATGAGGTATATTTTTAATGGTGAGAAAAAGATGAGAAGCAGTTGTGAGGTATTAGAGCAGGAGGATTAGGAGGAACTAAAGAAGGTGATGGCGTTGATGATGGAGACAATGAATCGACTGGGTGTCCTTGGTAGGGTGGTAGGAGATGTCCGTGAACTCGGTCCAAGAAAGTCATTGTTATCGCTGATGTTTAAATGGGTTGTCTCTGCTGTTGTTTGTCAGTATTTGTGGGTTTGTCCAATGCTGGGTCTATTGTTCTGTAGAGCAGGCGACACTGTCGCCGTTGTGAGTGGAAGAGGGAGAAAAAATGGGAGAATTTTGAAGTGCAACAGCACCCATTAAGGTGTTTGTTTTTGAGTTTTTTGTTAAGGTGAATATAAAAGGAGAAACGTCAGCAGGAATATGAATATGTTCATTGCTAAACATTTTCATTTCTATACTGCTGATGACGGCGACAATGACGATTTTGGTGGTGATGGTAGTAGTTGCGGCTTATTGTTTTCAATCAAAAAATGACTTTGTTGTTGTATTATTTCAACCAGAAAAGAAAGAGGCAAGAAAAATTTTTTCTACTTTGATTGGGTCGACTAATTTTAGATTTGAGTTGATTTTTTAAAGATGAAAAAAGACATATTTCAAATGTGGGGCCAGTAATATCATCAGACCAAATGAAGCAGCGAGAAAAAGAGAAGAAAGCTCAACTCACATTGTTTTGTTGGCGGTTGCACAGCTTTCCGATCAAATCATAAATTTTGCTTTTGTCACAAAATATAAACAACAAATCACTTTAGTTTCAAAAATGTAACAAAAATAAAAATTTTTTGCAGAAGGATATTTTTGAAATTAGCACCAAAACTGCGTCAAATTGATCGCTATTTTCTTTTCACGTCTGAATTATTTCTTCAAAAAAAAAAAAATAGCAGGGATTTTAAAATTTTTTTCTTTGCTATGCCTCTTTCCTCCCATACATTTTCGATGGACGCTATGAGGATTTATTAGTTTAACTGTGGTTGACAAATTCAGTGTGGAACAGAAGTACAATAAGTTGGTGAAAGGTGAGGGAATGAAATGAATGTTGGCGAATGTTTTTTACTACTGAATTGCTTGATCCATCAATAAAACACATTTCCTTGCCAAAGCTGCTAAAAGTAAAATCGAGCACCGTATGCAGTGGCGCTTTTGATGTTTGGCTGTAAGATACTTTGTTCAAGTAGTCCCTTATAGTGAAAAAAATTTCTCGCTCAGAAGTTTTATTAAAGTCTCTTTTTCGTTTGCTATACACCGTTCTCATGCTTACAATACACAACTGTGAAAAATGCGCTCATTTTTGTTGCATGCGGACAAAGGAATAAACTTTAGTTTTTTTTACTGGATTATTTTATAAGAACAAAATGGAAAGGGAGAAAAAACAAAATTATTTGTTTTTCGATGCAAAGTTTAATAATTCAGAGAAAGTGAAAGCTTTGAGATGTTTATAGGGAATTATGATTCGGGTTTGCCTATAGTAATCCTTTATCGGCTAATGCAAATAGCCGACTCAGTTGTCAGCATCATTATTATTGAGTGTTATAAACTTGAGCAACCAACTACCATCAAGTTAGCATCGCTCTAGTTTTATTTTGCTTCCTACTCTCTTTTCCACCCGTTCTGTTATCGGAAAATAGGTTTCCGTAGAAGCAACCACCGTTCCACTGCCAAAACTGCCAGATGGCTCTTAGGCTGTTTTCTGTACCAGTTGTCCGTCATTCAGTCACAGCATTCGCTCTTCAGTACTACCAGATCCTATTACTCAAGAAGAACTTCGGCTGCTTAACTGAGATTACAAAGCTTTTTTTATTTCTATATTAAAATTGCCACACTTAATGAATGAAACTCTAGAGTTTTTCTTATCAGTCCAACTAGATTGGCTCGTAGTTGTTTACTGGAAAAATTGTTGTTTTTGAAGGGCATTGATTTAAGATGGGTAAGAAGCAAGTAGGAAGAAAAAAGAAATGTTTTTTAATGATATTTTGTGTTGATGGTTTTATATTTTTGATATGTTATGACACACTTCAAACAAGCGCATGTATATTTCAACGAAACGATTTTCGAAGTTTTCTTCAGCGTCGTCATCAACATCATCTACTTCTTGTCGTTGTTTTTGCTCATGGTCTTCTCATTTCTCAAAAATTCCAACAGTCATGACACAAGAGTAGCGGTGATTTAAGCAACAGCTCTCAAAATAAGCTGGATAAAAAAATTGCCCCGTTTCTTTCTCTGTCAAATGTTGTATGGCTAAAGCGTGCTGAGCAACAGAATCCCTCCGTTGCAACAATTGACTAGAAGGAGAAAAAGAAGACGAAAACGAAGAAGCAGTAACGGCAGCAACAGCACCAGTACCAGCAGCAGCAGCAGCAGCAACAACAACAACAAAAACAACAACAACAGCATCGTCGTCATCAGCATTAACATCAGCGCAACCCCAACCAACCAGTCAACCAGCCAAAGCCAGCCAGCCGGCCAGCGAACGCGCCTACAAACAGCAAATACAAAATGTTTCGTGTAAAATATAGGCATTATTGAGGCCCCCACAAAGGCGCCAATGCAAACCCAATCTGTCGCACTAGACAACTCATTTTTCGGCTTTTTTGTTTCTCCAAAAGACACATCCACAGTCATCACCCCTCTCCTGCGTATCGTCATCCACTGCTGATCAGGCAATATTTTGGTCTCTGGTATCAGAACTGTCCCGCTTTTTACAGCAATAAAGGCACTTAATCAATCAAATTACTGTCGCTGGTACTCCGTTTATCATAATTGATTCCATCACATTTTGGTTTGGTCATTTTTTTTTCTTTTGCTACCCCGCTGGTACTGTTTATCTACATAAAAATTTCCACTACAATAGCGTTTTGTCTTCCTTTTTTTTATACATTTTTTTTTTTGATAATATTTTCATTTTTTTATTTTAGTATTTTAAGGATGCCCACTTTTTTTTTCCGTAGCTTCTTGATGTTTTAAAAACAGTCAGGCAATGGTATAAGTATTTGTGTCATAATCGGGTGCATTTATCGTTTTGAAGTTTCCTCTAAATGTTGGTTTTTATTGTTGTTAACTTTGCCGTTGTGTCCGCCCGTCATCTCATTTGACTGCATTATTTTTACATCTCTATTTTACTGCTGTTACTTTGAGGCTGCAGTTTTATTTGCAGCCAATAATTTATCAACAGGAATTTTTTTTTTTTAAATTTATAAACACTTTTTTTTTTCGTTATTGTTGGTTTACTACAGATGAGAAGAAGAAAGAAAAAAGTTCTTTCCAATTTTTGGTTTATTGAACAGCAGCAGTACTTTTGTATAATGTTTTGTTGGCTCATTTTTTTTTCTTTCAAATGAATAGCGCTAAAAAGTTTTTGTTTGTAAATGTGTATGGGTGTAAGTAGTTGAGGGTAGTGTGGAAACTGTAGAAACTCAAGCGATGATGACGGATGGTGTTTTTGTTTTTGTCGAAAATTATAAATCTATTATTGTTGGCCCTTTGAATTCAGGAGGTGCTCAAGCAGCAAACTGTGTTTTCCCGTTCTGTTGCCTGACGTACATTGTACATATATGCGCATATACAGACTCATACACTCAGACACGCAGACACACACACACACACACACACACACACACAAAAATACACACATAGACACATGTACGTGGCGCTATCTGTTCGTTAAACAAATACGATTTTGAGCTATAAACAAACCCCGCGGAAATGAGTGAAGCGTCGAGGGGTAATTTTCATAAATCAACACTCCCCGCACAAATGCTAATTTAATTCATACATTATTTCCATTGTCTTTTTTGTTTTTCACTTTTAATCTCATCTTTATTTACGTTTTTTTTTCTCCATCATCAACTTGATGATTTCTAGTTTTCTGTTTTGTACTGTTGCAATTTTAAACTTAGAAACAGTCAAGCAGTATGTAATTTGATTTTCCTATAATTTAGTCTTATCTTATAAAATATAAATTTTGATGAAAATAGTTTTAGTTGACAGTTTGATTTTTTAACTTTTTTGTTGTCAGTGATATCACTGCTAGTGATGATGGTGGCACATTTTACATTGGCTGGGAGAGGGGGGAATCGATTAATTGTTCAACATATTTTTTTTTTTTTTTTTTTTTTG